TATTTTGGTCTTCAAATATCTTTACACTACCAAACCAACATCTGGGATGATACTGTGCATCTGTTCCTTCCAGGGACGAGGGGGCCGGCAAAAAGATTTTCACAGCACAGATCAATACCACATTATTCACGTTTTTTGCTGTACTCACCATCTGCAGCCAAGCGTTTGTGGTGAGGATCTGGTTCTTTTCGTCCTTGCATAACACAAAGCAAAGGAAAGAAAAGGAGGTTTCATTTGTTTAAGAAAAGGTTGTAGGTTTATGTAGTAAAACATTTTCTCAGGCCTATGTTTACATTTAGTCAGTTTTTACTCTTTACAGTTGTTCTTCATTCTAGAGTGTCCACTGTCCTGTTCTGTGTAAAATACATTCCTAAATCCATCTTAAGCTAGTCTGATAATCAGGTTACAGTCTATTTTGTATGGAATTCCCCTTTTGTGTTATTATCCCTACACTGCAGCAGAAAACACTGTGGCAATCGAAACACAAGTGCGCAAACATATATTATTTTAGTTAGTATTTTTAGATTGCAACTGCATAAGGAAGAGGATCTTTTCACAGCGGGCAACACAGTGGAATAGTATTTAGCACTGTGGCCTCACATACTTTTATTGCAGATTGGGATTAGGTTAAATGGAAACTCTAAATTGTCTGTGGGTGTGAATTTGAGAGAGAATTATTGTGACTGTAATGTGACTGGTGACCTGTCACCTGTCACCCTGATGTCAGCAGGGACTGACTCCAGCTGAACCCCCACGACCGTGAAAGAATAAGCAGTATGATTGAAAGATTGATCTTTCAAAGGTAATATGGAGAAGACGAATAATCACAGCAACCTGTAAATCTTAAAATGTACATGTGGGCCTGTGAGTAATGCTGAAAAATTGTGAATCTTTTTTTTAAATATTATTTGGCTGTGACTGTAACACTGCAGTTATGTGCCATGCGTACCACATCCATGACCTGCATCAGTGTAAAGGAGAACTGAACAGTGAGGGTCTGCGAGTCGTTCGCCACTGGCCTCTCCATGGGGTTGTAGTCCCTCAGTAGCTCTCTGAGCAGAAAGCGCTGGTGAGGACCCTGCACTGATACTGCAGAGTGGATGGAGAAGAGAGGGGGGAGGGGGAGTGGACGATGGGACAATAACAAAGTGGAATGAGAAAAAGTAGGAGTTAATGTCAGGGAAGATGTCAAGGAAGCAGTGAAGGCAGAGGAATAGCAGAAAACCATTGTGATTACACTGAGAGTTAGGGAAGGAGAGGTGTCGAAGCTGTAGGTCAGATAATGAAAGAGAGGAAGAAACACACTAACAGGGAAGACGGGATGGAGGATAGAGGACAGGCTCTTGTAAGTATAACTGGTGTTAATATTTTAATGATGGAGAGGCACAAAGATATACACAGAGTTGATGACAAAGGAAATTAAAGGAGGATGATGAACTGAATATTTGCAAGAGAAAAGAGAGGACAGCAGAGGTGGGGGTGGGAAGAAAATAGGCGAACCTCCTGATCAATTACGACTCTGATTGATCATCCACAGACAGTCGGAGTCTCTTCACCGCTGTAAAAATGTCACTTTCATCCCATGCAGGAAATAGTGTGGCCATTAAACACTGAAACACCCCAGACAGACAGACACAGCACTCACGACGATGAGAACGGGGGAACTTTCTCTGTATTTTGCCCCCGAAGCTGCACCACGAGCTTTGATTCATTCTTGATTCGCTCACCACAAGGCAATCGCTTTGATGTGGAGGGGGAGCTATCACTGGTGGATGTGACAGGCCCACTGACATAGATTTCTTTTTTTTAACTACAACACAACTAACATAGCTCCATGGTCTTTTCTATTGCCAGAAACTCCAACCAGTGACAGAGTAAATGATACAAGATGAATGTGTTCATTGTGTAAAGATCTATATTCACTAACTAGACCATAATTAATCAATACGACTCCACAGATGTCTACAAATCAAATGAATGGTCTCTATAGTATCTATAATGTCCAACGACAGCAAATCAAACACAGGTAGCCTCACAATCACCCCTCTCTTTCATCTATCTGTCTGTATATCTTTCTATTTCTCTGTCTCTTTCTTTCTTTTTCTTTGTCTATCTATCCATCTATCTACTGTATGTCTATATCTTTCATTACTTCTCTCTCTGCTTCTTTCTCTATCTATCCATCTATATCTATCTATCTATCTATTTCTCTGTCTCTCTATGTCTCTTTCTTTCTTCACTTCTCTCTCTGCTTCTATCTATCTCTCTATCTATACATCTATTTATCTATGACATAAAAAAGCACAGCTTGGCTCTGTAATCTGCATTAAAGACGATTAAATTTCATACAGTTGCTTGCTCATCATAAAAATAAATCTATTTTTCTCTCTGCACACCTACAGACTCAGTAAGCTGCTGTGCTCACAGTTGTCGAGCGCTCAGCAACACAGGCGTTAAAGAGCACATGTAGTGTAAACAGAGCACATAGAGAACACACACACTTGTTCGAGTGCATGCACCAGTGAAGAAGTCACTCACCCCGAAGAAGAGTCACGAGCATCAGCAGCCACAGAGCCACAGCCTGCCACATGCTGCATTCATCTGTGTTCACAGAGAAAGAGTGGGAGAGGAAGAAACACAGAGAGGAGACGAGAGAGGGAGAGAGAGATGGAGATAAGAGAAGAGGGGTTGGGGAAAATAAGTGCAGAGAGTGTGATACCAGGAGTGGCAGAGCAGAGAGATGAGGAGAAAGGGAGAGGGAGCGGAGGAGAGACAGAGTGGGTGAGAAACGCAGTGAAACAAATATTCCTCCAAAGAGGAAGATACTGTGTGTCAGAGAATCAGCTTGGAAACCAGGCAAACCCCGACCTACAGCTCAAACGCACCCTTCATGCTACTCTGCTCATCTGTTCCTGCAAACTGTCATCACATGTCAGTCACCCCTATCATTTCATCATGGACTTATCTGCTGTTTTTTATGGGCTAATGATCATGATTTCAAGAGGGGCTTTGTATTCTTAGTGACTCCTTCCAGGTAATATGATTAGAGTTGCAAGCAATGCAGGTGTCTTTAAGTCAAAGCTCAGAAAAGAGACAGGGGGAGGAAATTAAGCATTTAGGAAACATTTTAAAACCGTTGAAACATTCTGAAATGATAAGCTTATCTCAATTATTACCGTCCGTCCCATTTCACCATCACCAGCTGCTTCTTAACTAGTCACATTTGACATCAGCATATTAACAGTGTAAGGCTGACACCCACAGGATATGTTGGTCAAGTGCAAACCGTCACTTTCCAGACAATCTGCGGTCTCCTAAAAGCTGATATGCACTACACACCATTTAATTATATCCCCTAATTTTCTTGATTCTCATTCCATAACCTGTTTGCACCAAAGAAAGAACCTTGTCTCACTGTAGGTCAGCAGAAACCCTTAGTTATTTCAAATTAATACTGAAAACTTTCCTGTGTAGACTTTTATCAAATCATACGAATATGACGTTTCTTAAAACTGCACTGTTACTTTCACTCTTTTATTTCTTATTTTATTTTTATTTTATTCTGTATTAAACACCTTTTTGACTTTTAATTTATTTTTAAATGCCTCTTTTTTGCATTGTCTTATGTTACTATTACAATTTGTCATGATGGGCTTAATATTTGATATAAAGCATTTTAAATTGTTTTTAGTGACTTTACTGGAGAGAAACCTGAAGAAAGTGGCAACAGAAGAAACATGTGAACTGTCTGCGCCCTGCAAACACTCAAACCATTGTATAGTTTACTATTACTATTACGTAGAAAATACGAGTACCTCATATCTGAATACTTCACTAGGAGTTTAAAAAAAAGTAGCTGAACCTTGCCGGTGCGGTGACGACACTCACATGCGCCGTGTTGCTGTTTGTGTCGGTCGCCGTTTGTCTGCGTCATCTCTCCTCGCAACGCTCCAGCGCTGCCTGATTGTTCCTCTGTCACCGCGTTTTAAAAAACCCTCACAGACACTTCCCACCGCCCGGCGCCGATGAGGCAGAAAACCTGCGAGTGAAGGTGAGGTATCGAACCTGTGTCTGCTCTGTACACGGCCTGTAGGTGTGTGTGTGTGCGGAGCAGAGTGTGTTTACGTGTGTGTTATCACTGTCGCTGTGCTGCATTTGGAAATGGTGCAGCGCCAGTGCGGAGCTAGCAGTTCGGCTAACGTTAGCTGGTGGAGGGACGGCCGCTCATCTTGTCCTCTGTACTGAGGCTTTACCCGAATAATGTCTGCACCTCTGCGGGCTTTAAACGTGTCGCGCTCCTGGAACACGTTTAGAAACACAGCTTGACGTTTCCTCAAAAAACAAGCAGGACGTCAGAGTTTCCTCCTCAGCTCCTGACCACCCTTAATAATCTATTCATACCCCTTTAAAACACGAATAATAGAGTATCCGCCACTTTTCACTCGAATAACCTCAATAATCAATTTATTAAAGCTTCGGTCACCCACGTGTCCCATCAGCGTGTCATCAGATGTCCCAGGAATGTTTTCTGTCCAACTTTTACAACAGCATGCGTTTTATAGCAGTTTCTATACATCCTGTTTATATGTCATTATTGACCCTAAACCTATGCCCTAAACACATCTTCAACACAGATTTTATTGAACTGAACGCACCCACTCATAGTGTATGTGATATCTGCTGAAATTTCTCAAACTTAAATGGTAGGACATAACTTTTTACTTAACTTTAGCCATCCCTTTGGGTTTAATGAGTGTATATGTCGAATACAATTAGTCACAATATAAGTTTAGTCACAAATATCCGTACTACCCTCGTGTTCAATACAGCCTGTAGTACTCTTGTGTTATTCATTAATCCATCCTATCACAGTACAACGCTGTTACGGGATCTGGACTCCTGGCTCTGATATTTGTATCCTTCAGAATGCATCAGATTACAGCCAGTGTCCGTCATTTTTCCTCCTCCGGTGTGTTTTGAAGGTGAGAACCTGATCTGAGTGATGTGATGTCTCCTCTGCTGTGATTGGATTGTGTCCTTGTCGCTCCGCTGTAACGCGGACGCATCGATTGTTGCGCACAGGGACCGATTTTACGCACGGGAATTAAACGACGAGTATTTGAGAGAAATAGCGAGGAGCTACACTTGTGATATGTATTGACACTCCTCCACGTGTCTCTGGTGATGTCTGCGTCAGGATGTGAGCGTCCGCCTCTGGGTCACGTGACACTGAACAGAAACCTATATCAGTTCCTCCGAAATGGAACCGAAACTGATCGTGTCTCTTGTTGTCCCTGTTTCCCTTTTCTTTCCCTCCTTCTTGCGCCAGTCGGTCAGATAAATCCCCCGAAATCTGGTGCAATAGTTCGACAAAACGTCTTTATAAAAGTGCATACAGTGTCGTCTGAGGTGTTTACACGATAGAAGCTTCGGACAGGACCTGACTTACCCGATGCGAGAGGACCAGCTCAACACAGTCTACTACAGGGCAGTTTAGTGATTTAGAAGTTCCACGTTCCGTGCTTGATCTATGATTCCCGTCTTGCATGTTGCTGTTATATCTGTCTGAGTCATCTGATCACCGGGAGGCTGCAGGACCACACACTTCCCACTATTAACACCTGTGCCACTGGTTTGAACTCCTCTAGGTGAGACCACACTACACCCCGAGCTCGCTGGGCCTTGTGCTACCAGTTTATCTTGCGTACTGCACTGACGTTTGAATATGTGCATCATATCTCCCTGTGTTTTTAGTGATATTAAGCTGTTTCTTGATATGACTGCATTATGCAAAACTGTCTATTCATCAGATGTCAAGTGGTTTGTTTTGCACATGCCTCTGCACAGCCTCAAAACCAGAGAGGAGCATAATAAGAGTGGATTCTAGAAAACACAAGAGTTGTTATTTTTGCTGTCAACTGTTGCCTCGCATCAGGGTCAAGATGAGTCAGCTCCAGCCCTGTTTAGCCTCCGGGCTGCCGGCTGTGTCGGCCCGGATTACCGTGATGAACCAACACAATGTGTTCTCATTAAGGTGGCAGCGTTAGGCCTGCTCAGCTCTATGTGACAGACCAGTGATGCTGACTGGGCCAGAGGAGGTGAAACCTGACTCAGTATGGATGTCTCCTTGTTGTCACCCTCACTGATATAGACATTATTGGGTGTTGTTAGATATGACACTTGATGCTAAATCAATGTTTGTTGTACCATAGGAGGATATTTGAATTCTGAACTATGTTGTTTCACTGGATCTGCACTACACTTCTACTTGATGAATATTTTGTGTTGTACCTGTGTGTGTTTTTGGAGGATAAAATTAACTTAGCTCCATAAAAATGCATAATTATAGTCAGAACTATAAGGGCAACTATAATAATAAAGGATACGTTTTTCTGGCCTTTTTTTTTTTGGTTCCTCAGCACATCACTGATTTGTGACGTTCTTGTGTCCTTGGAACTGTTCTTTTTGGAGAGAACATGGATCCAGATTGAGACATAATTTGTAAGGCCAAAAATAAAACGGGATAGTCACAAGAAGGAAGACTGTCTGAATTATTAATCACCATCCTTTTACCCTGGGATTAAGTTCCATTGTGACTGGAAGAGACAGTATGTCACCCTGCAGTATCCTTGTAGACTGGCTGGGATATAATCTAACGATACATAACAATGTTGACACCGTTGGTTTATGTCAATGCTTGTCCTCTGCATATATTCCTCTTCTATAATACCCTGATATTTTAATAGCCTACTTTTCATCACTGCACTTCAGAAAGGTGAGAACTGTGTCCTTGGAGCTGGTCTAGATTCAGTGACATTTCTAAGGGCACCTGAGCAGGTTGTACATTTGCCAGCAGGGCTGGAACTTATGTTTTGGCTGGAATATTAGTTTCCCTTTGCCTCCTGGCTGCTTTCACCATTTTGTTATCGCATTGTTTCTTATTTCTGTTTGTTAATATTCTCCTGATGTTGTCCTTTGTTTGTATTTCAGGTGCTCCCTCTGTGCTACCGGCCTGCCCTGACTTTCCACCAGGGCCTGCAGGACCCACACTCGTACAGAAGCTGCACAGTCAGCTGCACCGGCCCCCTTCACGCTCACCCCCTGCGCTATGAGCAGAGGTAGAGGAGGGCCTCCCAGAGAACACTACCACCAGTATCCACTACCCCACCTCCAGGCCAAGGACAATTACAACAGGCCTGGCCCGTCCTCACTCTTCCCCAGAGCTGACCCGCAACTAAGACCATTTTCAAGTTACTACAACAGCCCTGCCCCTCCTGTAGTGTCCACACAGCTCCCAGCTCCCTTTCTCATCCCCTCTGCCCCACCCATACCAAGCCACAATAAAGTAGCCCAGAAACCAGTGACCCCTAACAATTCACATTATCAGAACCACTTTCCCTGTCCTGCACCAAACTCATTTAAGTACCAACAGGCAGAGTTCCTGAGAGGACAAAGCTCAGAGGCTCCACAGTTCAGAGCCGGTCTGCGAGGAGGGGGAGTGGTACCAGGTAGGCTGACCAGATCCTCACATCAGTCCCAGTCAGGGTACAGTAGATTTCAAAATCCTAACAGCAGCCCCAGGGGTAGAGGTGGGTATAGCCAGGAGAATAGCTTTGCATACTCGCACAGTGTTGGACCCCAGCAAGGCCATCGACACCTGAATCAAACTCATTTGCAAGGTAAAAAACACAACCAACACTCCAACAGACAATGGTGCGGTCAAACCGACTCTCTTTGTGACAACTTTCATAGTTTGTCTCTTCATGGAGACTGGCCCAACAGAGGAGACAGGTTTGAGACACATTCTGTATCAAGCAGCTCAGCAGCTTCAAGCTTCAGTAAGATCAACATCACTCTCACTCCTGCCATTCAGGACCAGGTACACAGGGCTTTGGCTGCGTTAAAGCCAACTGAGAGCATCCCTGCAAAAGTGTTAGCCAAAAAGCTGCGTCTGCCCAAAAAGATAGTGAACAAGGCCCTGTACTTGCTTGAACGCTCACAGAAAGCCTCTAAGCAAGGACTCCTCCCCCCTGAGTGGAGCCTTTACAGAGAACCTCTCAATTCTGCAGAATATCACAACTCTCAAGCTCAAACGTCTCTATCCTATCTGTGTGTCGGTGTAGAGCAACCCCAACAACCTGAAGTCAAGGTTGAGCTTAATACAGAGACAGTAGAGAATAGGGGACAGGCCAAAGACGAGGACTCTGACACAGAATCCAGTTTTTCGTACGGCTCTTCCTTGGAGTCATCGGACCTTGAAGGATCCGGGTCATCAGTAAAAGGTCAGCACAAGAATCAATATTGCAGCAGCATCACCTCCCGTGATCAGGAACTTCCCACAATGACAGACCAAAAGGAGCTAGTACTCCGCTACCTCCTGGAGTCAGGAGAGGCAACCGCTCTTGTCATAGCCAAAAATCTGGGTTTAAGGAGTGCCAAGCAGGTCAATCCCACACTTTATGCTCTGGAGAAGCAAGGCGAAGTCGTTAAGAATGGCGAAGTCAATCCTTCTACCTGGGAGCTCTCCACCCGCCGCAGAGGGAGAATGGAGAGGAGCCTCAAAGCTGCACAGAGCACCCCAGCTGAGGTGGTTCCGATGGAGGAGGATTGGATGTCGCAGGTAAGTCACAATGAAGCAGTGAAGTACTGTCTTATGAATATAGAAAGAAATCTTCAAATCTAACAAGGCAGTCGTAAAAAATATTTTCCAAAATGTTGAAATATAACATTGAAAGAAATTTTTCTGGAATATGTGAACCACCTTATTCCAACATGTATTTAGCTGAGGTTACCAGCCTTGGAGTTCTAGTCCAATTAACCATGTCACTTCTTTGCTTTTCCCCCACAAGTCTGATTCCTCCCTCCAGCGCCCCTCTTTTAGCCCATGTAAAGCCAAAGAGACCAACGAAGGACAGTGGGCCACCGACGATATCCCAGTGTTCCTCAATGCCATTCGCAGGGAAACAGATGCTGGAAAACTGGCGGCAGAGAAAACCAATGCTGTGGGAACTGTCGCTGTCTCGCTGGCTGCCCCGCCTCCCCAGAACCTGTGGGCCAAGTTACAGGAAGTGAGGCTGAAGAACCCAGTCAGCGGCCTCATGGAGTATGCCCAGTATCTGGGCCAGAACTGTGAGTTCTTGCTCCTTGACCAGTCGGGACCCTCCCACGACCCAAGGTTAGTGACATCATTGTCTGTATGTTTCAGCTACAAAGTTTGAAATTTGTACAAAGAATGCACCAGAGCCAATATTAAGTGATCTGATCACAGTAAATATAGAGATGTTGTCAATGTAATTATATCAGTTAAATTCATTAAATCAAAACCTGGACACCAAAATTTCTCTTCCATAAAACATCCACATAATGGAGCTTTTCAAGAGCTATCTGTTGTTTGTTTATATGATACACATTCAGTTAGTTGTTGTTTTTCTTTAAAGCATGACAAACCAAACATTTTAGTGGCAAGATGCTGCCATTTGACAACGAATGTTAATTTGCTTTTTGAGCAACATAATACAGTTAGAGACTGATCATGCATATTTTCTCTTTGTCAGATTCCGTATGCAGGTGATGCTCAATGGCCGATTGTTTCCCATCACAGAAGCTTCCAGTAAGAAGGTTGCAAAAAAGGATGCGGCTGCGGCCACTCTGCGCATTCTTATCGCAGAGATGGAGGGAGGGGCGAGCACAGGGGACAATGGAAATGCTGAAAGCACAGACAAAGTCATGGATCTACAACCTGACACCAGCGTAAGTTGTTGTAACCCAGTTTTCACCTTCATATTTTAAGCTAAAACCATTTGGAACTTTGATTGTTTCACCCTTTTATATTTATTGTATTCATGAATGTGCTGTAGATCATTTAAATACAAGATTCACACAAATCCCAACAGATAACATTTAAACCTGCTCTCACATCAAAATAGATTTTCAAACTACTGCTACTGTGCAAAAGGGTGTTAGAACAACAGGAAACTCAACCATATGTTAGAAAACCACTTTTTCTCCTGTGTGTTTATCCAATGAATTCTGTCGTTGGTCTTGTAATTTAACACAAAATATCTATTTGAGTAAGAGTCAATTGCAGAAGAATATTATTTTAAAGTTCTGCGTCTCACTTGCTGTAAATATATATCTAAGTATTGTCAAACTCTTCATTTCTAAACAAGAAGCACAAATATATATTATCACTCAATAAGAGAAAGGGTTGTATTTTATTGTATTTTTTTTTGTTGCTGTTTTCCAGGGGCCAGCTGAAAGCATAGGAGACATTTTTGGGTCCGGTGGTGTGGAAGGGATAGAGATGTCGGAGGGACCTCGCCAGCCGCTGTCCCGCTCTCTGCCTGGTGGGAAAAATCCAGTGTCCGTCCTAATGGAGTACAGCCAGCGCAGCGGGAACCCTATCGAGTTTATCATCACCGGGCAGGCAGGCCCACCACATGACCCACGGTACTGGCTCCTTCACCTCCCTCTGAATCTGTCCTTTTGGGTGTTGCTCTGCATGTTCTTAGAGTGGCAAGAAAAAGTTTTAGAACCAATTGGAATTGTCTAGTTTTCTGCATCTTGATCTGATCTTTACCTAAGTACAGACTTAAAAAATAATTGAACAGACCTATTTTACATTCACGCACCCGAACTACAGCATACATTTTATTGATGTGTTTAGTATGGACAAGGAAAATACAATGATTTGTGTGTTATTAGTTAAAATAGATTTCATGAAAAGCTAACTGTATTTGATGACAAATGTATTAAAAAAATGCTGATAATTCCACATGGATCTCTTACTTTTGCTTTCCACTGTAGATCAAGTTTCTCTGTGGTCATACATTTCCTCCTCAGGGAAGCAGATGATCCGCTATTTCTGTCCTCAGTGCTGTGGTCAGCTGACAAAGACACAATACCATCTTTCTAATCTTCCTCTCTATAATTCATCCCTTTTGGCATCTGGCTCAGAGATACAATACAAACCAGCTTTATAATAATACTGTATGAATTTATACACCATTGACTCTAGTTACTGTGACCCTGACACATCAGCTGATTTCAGGAATCTGGAATAGTAACTTAGCAAAGCGTTGTATTATTGCTGATCGCTGTTACATTCAAAAGTAACTTTTTCCCCTTTCTCTCTTTCCTCCCTTTTCACCTTCTCCGTCCTGTGTTCAGGTTCATGTACAGGGTGAAAGTTGGGGAGAACTTGTTTGCAGAGTCGTCTGCTCCAAGTAAGAAGGCAGCCCGGCAGCTGGCAGCAGAGGAGGCCGTCAAAGAATTAATGGCTGACGGGAGGTTGCAGCTCAACAAGGTGAGGAGTTACTGGAGTTATTCACTTTGCATATCCTCAAACTGAGTCGAATAAAACTGATCTTGTAACTTTTATCTCTCCACATCTCCCTTTTTTTTCTTCTTGCCCCACTGCCTTTTCTCTATTCCAGCCTCAGTTGCCCCTAGGCTCCTCCAGTGATAGTGATGGTTCTGGGACCACGTGTCCCTCTCTGCCTCCTCTGACTGTAGATGAGTTGCGAGCAGCTCATGAGGCAGGGGTTGGGGACCTCATCAACCACCTGAACAACAACGCAGTGTCAGGTCTTCTGGAGTACGCCAGAGCCCGTGGCTTTGCTGCAGAGATCCGCCTCGTTGGCCAGTCCGGGCCAGCACATGAGCCTAAGTATGCGTGGGCTTCATGATGACACAAACACACATTTCACATGTACACACTTGAGAAGAAATCTCCTACTGAGCAAGTTACCATGTGCTTTAGAAATCTGTTCTTGCAGACCTCATACATTTATTTATATAAAACACCTTTAGCAATGCTAATAGACACTTAACATAGGTTCAAAAAAACAGAGAAAGCAAATAACTACAAATATGAAATATAAAACATTAATCACACATTAAAACCTGTTCTAAAGAGGTGGGTTTAATGAAAATGGAGATATGGAACATTGCTTTACCTCATTTCTTTGGAGCCTTGTTGTTCTAGAAACACTTGGCCTGCTGAGGATAATGCTCAAACTAATATTTGTCAACTTTGGTCTTCATGTCATTTAAAGACCTCCAATGATCCCCTTCCTCTTTGGCCCTCCTGCACAGGTTCACCTACCAGGCTAAGCTCGGTGGGCGGTGGTTTCCTCCAGTCTGTGCATCCAACAAGAAACAGGGAAAACAGGAAGCAGCAGATGCCGCTCTCCGGGTTCTGATTGGAGAAGCTGAGAGGGCAGCCCGCACTGGGGAGCTTATCCCGGCCGAGGTGAGCTGACCTTCCACTGGTTTAACACTGTCTATGATGCTATCCGGCGGAACTTGTCATTTTCTTTGGTAGTTTTGACTTGTTGTTTGCAAAATCAAATTCATTTTATATATGCCACATTTCTAACAATGCCAAAAATAATCACTATTTCCTTTCTGTTTTGCATATTCTATCCTATCCTGTAAATATCGCTCCTTCTAGCTTCCAGTGAGTGGCAGCACTTTGCACGACCAGATAGCGATGTTGAGTCACCAGCGTTTCAATGCCTTGACGACACGTATCCAGCACAGCCTTCTGGGACGGAAAATCCTGGCTACCATCGTCATGAGGAAGGGGGAGGGACTAGGGACTGTTGTCAGCCTGGGAACTGGTATATCTATAATCTTCATGTAAAAACAGGAAGTATACATGATTGTGCCACAACAGAAGAAAATGTTTTGGTTTTAGTCATGTAGAGCTTTAACAGAACTGTAGAACCGCGCTGGTTGTTGTGTTCTTTGACACTGAACATGTCTCTTGGTTTCTTTGAATTTCTTTTCTTTGTTTTGGCAGGAAATCGCTGCGTTAAAGGGGAAGAGCTGAGCCTTAAAGGGGAGACAGTTAATGACTGCCATGCTGAAATTATTTCCAGAAGGGGATTTCTTAGGTAGAAATAGATTAGCTCTTTCATCAATGTTTCTCTCCCACTTCTAAAATTACCTTCGCTCTTTTTCCAGCCTCAGTCTGCAGGACATTATTTATAAGTCTAATTTTCCATCTCACTTCCTCTCAGGTATCTGTACAGCGAGCTGCTGAAGCACTACGATGGCGCAGAGGACAGTATATTTGAGCCGGCGGAGGACAGCAAACTGCGGATCAAATCTGACATCACCTTTCACCTTTACATCAGGTGGGAGTATCGGATGTTTTCTTTCTCCTTGTTCACGTCCTTGAAGTATCTCATGCTTCGATCCCATCCTGTCCATTTGTCAGTCTCTTCAATGTGTCTTGTGTGGATCAATAGTTAGTCCTCCTTTCAAGTGCAAGTCATTTTGGAATGTGTCATGTCAATATCTTACGTTTCTTCTTTTTCTCTTATCCATAGCACAGCACCGTGTGGGGATGGGGCTCTGTTTGATAAGTCCTGCAGTGAGTCCGGAGATGACGTCGAGGGCCACCAGCCTCTGTTTGAGAATACAAAGCAGGGAAAGCTCCGCACCAAAGTGGAGAACGGTGAGAAATTATATATATATGTTAATAGACGCAAATGATTCCTCACAACAAGCAGGAGCTGTGACCTTTGCATTGTTTGTGCCAGGTGAGGGCACCATCCCAGTGGAGTCGAGTGCCATTGTGCCGACCTGGGACGGCATCCAGCATGGAGAGAGGCTGCGGACCATGAGTTGCAGTGATAAGATCCTGCGCTGGAACGTACTGGGCCTGCAGGGGGCATTGCTCACCCATTTCATGCATCCCATCTACCTAAAGTCCATCACACTTGGTAAAACATGCTGCTGCTGTGTCATTGTTGTAGCCAGATAATATGACAAATATGAGATTTAACATCAGTGAAATTAGATGAATTCCCAGTTTTACATCGGTCCTCATCTCACATTCCTGCCGTTGTCGCTTGGTTCCGTTAGGTTATCTCTACAGCCACGGTCACCTGACACGTGCTGTCTGCTGTCGACTGGCTAGGGACGGTGAAGTGTTTGTCGAGAGTCTTCCTAGTCCATTCATGCTCAACCACCCAGAGGTAACCACGAAAATGTTTGGTTATTTCACTGTGGGCATTAATGGGGAATCCTGCATTTCTCATCTTTAAATGTGACTCATTTATCAATTAGCAAAAAGCATGTACCCTAAATGTCTATTGGATCACCGAGAAAAATGTCTGAGAAATAAATACTGATTTTTTTATCATTTGACACACTTTCAGTTACACACTAGTGAAATAGTTTGCTTACTAACATCCTTAAACAATACACAGTTACGAAGGCATCACGCTGAGACATGAATTACACAACTCATTTTACACCCTCTGTTTGGAATTACTGATTCACACTGAAGGGCTAAATGAGCCTGATTTAACTAAATATGCTTTTTCATTCCCCACTCCCCTCCTCCAATACCACCTGGGTGGACTTTAGGTGGGCAGGGTGAGTGTGTACGACTCCACACGTCACACGGGAAAGACCAAAGAGTCCAGTGTGAACTGGAGCTTTCCAGACCAGCACAGTGTAGAGGTGCTGGACGGGACCAAAGGCAAACTGGATGGGTACGTAGGAAACACTGGCTCTGCTATTTAGTCACCCAAAACAGTAAATGAGATTTTTAAAGGGTGTCACACTTCTTATATGAGCATTCAACTAAAGAGTCCTAATGTCTCCCCTGTAGGAACAAACAGAGCGTGTCCCGTGTGTCCAAGTCCAACTTGTTCTGTCTGTTCCGCTCTCTGTGTCAGCGGTGTGGCCGCACAGACCTCCTCTCCCTGTCATCATATGCCCACGCCAAGATAGCGGCCATGTCCTTCCAATTAGCAAAGCAGCAGTTCTTCCAAGGTCTCGGCGTCCACGGTTACGGTGCCTGGATCAGCAAACCGCTGGAAGAGAAGAGCTTCGAGTCAGGAGAGGGAACGTGGAAAAATGGAGCAAGTTTCCCTGTGGGATATGGCGGCAGTAGAAACGGAGGAGCGTTAGAGCCCAAGCAGGAGGAGGCATAGAACAGTGCATTATTAAGTGAGTATATAACTGTGGAGGAAGAAAAAAGCACAAGCCAGGGGCACATGTGAAGGGAGAAAGAAAAGGACAATCAAACTATGTGTAGCCAGTGGCCAGAACCGTAACATCTGATGGAACGTGGTTAACGGCTGCTGAGGAAGAGCGATAGAAAAGAACAATGTGAATGAGAGGGAGACGACAAGGGCAAAGCCTGATGGCTGAATGTGGTCAGAGTGGACACACAGAGCTTAGAAAGAGATTCAGAGGGAAAACAAAAAGATATAAACACTACATGAAAAAGGAATTGGTTTGAAGTCAATAAATCAACCTGACAAGCACTGCTACAAAGCTGATCTGTTAGTTTACCAGATGATAACTGCTTGTGTCTTGATCCTATACGTTATTTTCAGATTGTAATTTCAATTTGTCTTTGTGATAATAGTGCTTCACTCAGTTTTTCTGACCATTGAGATTATTCAGCTTCATTTGGCAAGTGTTTGTTTGATTTTTGCCATGAGAGCTTGAGTAGCTGACTAGTGCTGCTAATTTAGTGTTCAGCCTATCACAAGCCTGCATTGTCGCAGTGTTTGTATATGTTAAGTTGAATTAGCATTCAGATGTCATGAAGTGATTATTATTTGTTCTACTCCCTGTGTTCTACTTCATGGAAACACATGCAACTGCTTTATGACAAAGAGCAAAAACAACAGTGGTCTTTTTTTTTTTTTTTTCAGTCATCGATTGACTCAATGTACTTAATCTGGAAATCAGTACTTGCTGGCTACAGTCGCAGCTTACATTGTAAATTCATAACTTTCACTGTAAATGAGACCATCAATAAAAACGTACTCTGATCAGTGACAAACGCTTCAGCTCCTCAAACTCTGAAGACATCCATCTGGCCCATTTCTGAGTAAAACCAGCTGTAAGATTTAATCGTTGTACACCATCCCTCCACATAGTGTTGCCATGGTTTCCATTAGCACAGTGTAGGTAAGTGCGGCCCTTTGATCAGTCCCACAATTTCCTCTGTGCTTTTGTGCTTTTATATGGAATTACTGATGTCAAGACCTCAAAGAAGTACAATCTTTCTGTTTCCTTATTGCTTGTGGGTGTGTTTTTGAGTATTTTTCCATGTTTTACCGTTAAGATAATCAATAACTGGCCATGGGAGCGAGTCCTGCAAAGTCTTTACTGTCCTGCCTGCAGCCAGCCGGCCTGCGTGTTGTTTTTTACATCTCAACATACAAAAAGCTTTCAGGTTCTCTCGCATGGCCCGATGTTTTCTCACCTAGTAGCGCTAGGTGAAAGACAGCTTGTTGTTTAAGGAGAATGTGTAGTTAATGTTTTTTTTTTCCTTGTTTCGGTTACATGTACTTGGATGATGCAATATATACATCAAGTATATACAAATACATGGACACACAGATGTACAGTGGGGTCCACAAGCCTGAGTCTCAGGTTGTAGTTGTGTTTGAGGTCTGGAGAAAAAGCCACGCAGGTCAATGCTCCATGAAGCTTTTTTGGAGCATTGACGTATGTCCACATTATTTTGCTGGATATTTCATCTTATTTTAAAAGTTTTTAAGTGAGTGGCACTTTTCCTGGGCCATGTGTTGTTAGCTGCCTTATTGCAGCTTTTAATGTGATTTTTTTTTTTGTCAGACATTTATTGCAGTCTTTTGAGTTGACAGAATTTTTCCAGAAGCTGAGATACACATTACATTTTATTAAGTACTGGTTACATTCCCTTAAAGGTGAACCTAATTTTGATAAGACATTTTAAAGAGAAGAGAAATCTTCGGTATTGGACTCAGACTTTTGAACCCCGCTATTTCAGTATAATGTTATATAAATATATATATATGTGTGTGTGTGTATATGTATAGGTTTCATGTATATATTTTGTAAATCATCTAAAATAGTTTTCTATAGTTTTCCTGGTGTTCTGATGGATTATGCCATTTTTTTACCAATAAAGTTCCAAAAATTTGAAAAAATGAAATATGTGTTTCGGAGGGGTGATGTGTTTGTGTTATACTGTGTTTTATATTTCTCACCTGTCTATATCCAGAGGAGTAGTTGCATCACCTGAGAGTCCATTGTCTGAATGATGTGGGGAATCTAAATATTTATGGTGTCGGAGCAGCTGTTGAATTGTTTCCAAGAGAAAAGAAAATGCACAGCAACACCTCTGCTTCTGACTCTTAATCCACTGTGAATCTTTGGGATTACACTTTAGGGGAAAAGGCGAGAGATTTCCTTGCAAGTGAGTCGATGATGCTGTTTCTTAGAGCAGAGGCTCCTTTCCTTTCCTCAGGGTGGTGTTGAGATGAAGGGGGGGTCTCCTAATGGCTGCTGAACCTATTGCAATGCTGCAAAATAATCAGCTGATGGAAACATGTCCTCACCCTAAAGGCCTGGAGCTGTGTGCATGTGTGTGCATGTGGAGAAAGACTTCATGAAATAAGGCCCAGAGGATCTGGTGTTCATGGTGGATTCAATGTAAAGAATGTGTATTTGTGCAGAACTGACACTTTATCTCCACCATTATATAATTCTACAAGCTTAGAATATTTAGATGCTCGTCTATTTTGTTTTCATTTTCCCTTGGTTTAAGTTTGACTATGTTCCAGCTCTTGTACGTTTATCTGGTGAGGAGTAATCTGACATTTAGATTTTAAGTTACTAAGTTAAGGTTTAGGATGTTTATTAGAGGGTTTGAGTCACAATTACAATTAGTTAAGTGTAATTGATTCAATTTGATTTTCATTGCACAAAGCACAACTATGTGCAGTTTAGTATCCAATCTCATGCAAACTAAATTAAAGTGCATATACACTAAACATTAAACATTAAAGAAAGACCAATAGATCGATAGGGTAGTAATAATAAGTGAGTGACACGCAAAACATCCATCAGCGAGGATCTAAATCAAAATTATATGGAAGTCAGAATTTTCCTTTTCTCTGTGGCTTCTGTGAGCGATCTTACTTATGTGCTGTAAACCTATGATAACACTGATGCTCCACATTGTTTCAGCAGTGTGACACATTAACACTCTGAATTTTTTAACAAGCCATTTAGAGCATCACTCTGCGTGACGTCTCACCGGGAGCAGATAGTGATATTCAGTGTCTAATTCTGAATCAGCTCAGTGTAGCGTTATAGAGTCTTCCTCCGCGGAGCAGCAGCATTTGTTTCTGTCAGGGGAGAGGATGATGGTAGTAATATTTGCCAGCCAATCAGTGTAGTGCCTCATGAAGAGTTTTATTGTTAATGCTCCCTAAACGCTCTGTTTCAGGAGGAGGCGGCAGAACAGAGGAACACAACAACAACAAAAAGCTCTTGTGTTTTTTCAACATACACAATGGCTTAAACAAAATGCATTTATGTTCCTATGACCTCTTCAGTAAGAATTTTCTACAAAATTGTGCCTTAAAATGTTAAGGCCTGTTTGTGCTTGTTTCATTCAGGATCTCAATCAATCGAGTCAGATTCACTGGTGGGAGGTTGGGACTGATGATGGAGGGAGAGGAGTATAAAGAGTGGAGCAGGGCTGCACAGAGGGAAATATTCGTCCAGACTGAATGACTTGAATAATCCAATTACTGCTTTCCAATGGTAATAAATGAGAGAGTGGAAGGGGGATACATGCAGGTTCAGTGGTGAGAGAAAGGATTGAGAACTAGAATAACACAAGGCTGTGAGAACCTGTGGAGTCAGCTACTAATGTATAATGGAAATCAAAGGTGTAGAAGGAGGGACGGAGCCTCAGGAACCTTATCTTACATCAGCAAAGTGCGGGACCTGGAGAAATGTGGTTTTGTGAGGATTAATACATGATATAATCCAAACCAATGATTTAGATTTCCCACAAATCACACTGACATTTATAACATGTTTGTTCTGTGTATAACTTTCCTCCTGAAAGCGTCTATTTAAACATAATGGTGACGCATTAGAAAACATCTGGCAGGGATCGAGCAACGTTTCAGTGCTGAGCGATAGGAGACAGCTGACTCAGGAAGGAGAGTGCAGACATCCAAGCCTGCGTAAACTTTACTGTCATGCTGAAACTGTGGCTAAATGTAGTTAGCTTCTGAACTCCTTCAACACCTCGAAAAATTAGAATGGAGGCAGCTGCACACTCTCGCAGTCAATTGCCTCTTCAATCAAGAATGACACGTAGGATTAGATACAGCGTTCCTTCTCGTCAATACGCTGAAGGCCTCGACCCCCCTGCTACCTGTGCAGTGAAAGTGGCCTAAATTTGACTGTGCTTCTCAGAACTATGAGGACGCAGATGAAGATAGTAGTCACGCTACTTAACTTCAACTAGCAGCTTCGTCACTATCAACAATAGAGAAGTACGTGGAGGAGAACACCAGCAGGTTTGTGCAGTTGATCTGAGACAGGATTCAGATGAGGGAACAAAGCGTTCAAGATATCTGTGATCCTGCCTGCATCTCATAATGTTCAGGGATTCAGATAGACCTGGTGTTGAGCTCATTAATAGCTGCTTCTACTGGCTGAAGGAACAATTGACCAATTAGAGATTTGAAGGGGGATTTCATGCCTGAACCATGAAGCGTAACTTCTACCTAGGGGGCTTTATTCTATGTTTTTTTTATTCCACATTCCTCCCTCCCATGTTTTCTTTCTTCTGTCACAATCTTTGTGAGGAATAAGTAAGTCTGCAGACCAGTGTTTCTCTGCAGTAGAAAACTGACAGATCAATAAAAAAAAGTATAAAGGTTTAACACATTTCTTTTTTTAAATGCTGTAGCTTACAATCAATTCAAAAATCAGCAAGGGCCAAAGAAAATCTGTGTGAAGCAGAAGAGAATATCAAACCTCTGTTACACACACTTCAGAACATCAGAATAGAAATCAGGTCGAAGGCTGTTTCAACTCAACTGGACCGAGAGAATTTGAATGGTTGTGATTAAAAGGGAATTGAGGTCTTTTCAACCTTATATTTATAAATGTGGATGTGTAAATGGACGGTAATTCCAAAAACCTTTGAAAATTGGTCCGATAGAACTCAGCAGTGCCTAATGGTCTATATATATATAATCTCATGGGGAAACTGCGACAGTCCATGAAATGTCCACTTAAAGTGCTTTTGTCACCAATTAATCTCTCTGTCCTCATTCCCTTTTCAATTTGGAGGAGCTCTTTGTCCTCTGGCTCAAAGAAATAACGGTGACCATGGAAGTCAAATGGTTCAACGACATTGTCCACATCAGAAAAAGATTCAGCCAGAATGCTCTCTCTCAGTAAAATCTAAACTCCCCTCTCCAACTCTCTCACTTTTGTTTCCAACTCCGTCTTGTTACATGAGTCTCACAAGACTTGAGAGTGAGACTTGTGTAATGTTGGCGGACTCTTTGTAAAAAACCCAAATAACAATTTGAGCCTTTTTCTTGTCGTTTTTCTAAGTACCATTCTTTTACATGCCCGTGCATTTATTAACATAGGGACGAGGTCAAAAAAGTTGAATCTGAGTTGTGCAAACGTTAATACTCATAAAGATTCAGAGGGTAAAAAAAAGGCCCTGAATGTTAAAGTGACAGAAAAAGTGTGTATGGGTGGAAATCCGACAGCGTCACCGGTCTGCTGACGAGTGTTCTTTCCCCGGCAGACAGCTGACACAAACACACACAGCCAATACATCAGCATCACTTTGCCATCATGCTGACGCCGAGAAACTGTAGTTTGCCTCTGAACTCTTCAAACACTTCCAAATATTAGTAACATGACAGCTGCACACACTTCAGAGACACACACTTAACCAACCAGCTCTCTGGTCAGAGGAGATGATGTGTGTGTGTGTGTGTGTGTGTGTGTGTGTG